GGTTTGTGTATAGGCGAGTAGTAGAGGTCACTGGTAGAGGTTTGTGTATAGGTCAGTAGTAGAGGTCAGTGGTAGAGGTTTGTGTATAGGTGAGTAGTAGAGGTCAGTGGTAGAGGTCACTGGTAAAGGTTTGTGTATAGGCGAGTAGTAGAGGTCACTGGTAGAGGTTTGTGTATAGGTCAGTAGTAGAGGTCAGTGGTAGAGGTTTGTGTATAGGCGAGTAGTAGAGGTCACTGGTAGAGGTTTGTGTATAGGTCAGTAGTAGAGGTCAGTGGTAGAGGTTTGTGTATAGGTCAGTAGTAGAGGTCAGTGGTAGAGGTTTGTGTATAGGTGAGTAATAGAGGTGAGTAGTAGAGGTCAGTGGTAGAAGTTTGTGTAGAGGTCAGTAGTAGAGGTCAGTAGTAGAGGTCAGTGGTAGAGGTTTGTGTATAGGTGAGTAGTAGAGGTGAGTAGTAGAGGTCAGTGGTAGAAGTTTGTGTAGAGGTCAGTAGTAGAGGTCAGTAGTAGAGGTCAGTGGTAGAGGTTTGTGTATAGGTCAGTAGTAGAGGTCAGTGGTAGAAGTTTGTGTATAGGTGAGTAGTAGAGGTCAGTGGTAGAAGTTTGTGTAGAGGTCAGTAGTAGAGGTCAGTAGTAGAGGTCAGTGGTAGAGGTTTGTGTATAGGTGAGTAGTAGAGGTGAGTAGTAGAGGTCAGTGGTAGAGGTTTGTGTATAGGTGAGTAGTAGAGGTCAGTGGTAGAAGTTTGTGTAGAGGTCAGTAGTAGAGGTCACTGGTAGAGGTTTGTGTATAGGTCAGTAGTAAAGGTGAGTAGTAGAGGTCAGTGGTAGAAGTTTGTGTATAGGTCAGTAGTAGAGGTCACTGGTAGAGGTTTGTGTATAGGTGAGTAATAGAGGTCAGTGGTAGAAGTTTGTGTAGAGGTCAGTGGTAGAAGTTTGTGTATAAGTCAGTAGTTGAGGTCAGAGGTCATCGCTCACCTCCCTCTCGGTGTCGGACTCTTCGTCTTCGACGGCCTGACTAGAGACGATGAGCGGTGTCCAGCGCAGACATTCCTCATCCAGCTGCAGCCGGGGCGTGCGACGTGCCTCCAGCTGCGAGGCGTGCTCCGCCAACGCCTGACGACACACGCGTATCACAAAACTGAAACACAGAACGAGAGAGTGTATCAACGCCACCTAGTGGAAAGAGAAAGCCCGTGCTTCCGCGAGGGAGAGAGAATGCCCGAGGCGTCTTCCGCCAATGCCTTACGACACAAAAAACTACTGAAAAACGTGTCGCAAGACGATGACGTCAATGGCAACGGGTATGGAGAGACAGTATCACAGGGTTCATAGTAGTAAGACACATGTCGAAATAAGGACTTATAAGACCCTTTCTGATGGCCAAAATAAGACTTTTTTACGCGATTTCTGATAGATCACCGACTATTAAAGTACACTAATAATATTTATATACACAATTGCACAGCCGTTTCGCCGAAATTCAACACAGAAAATGTTGAAAAATGGTCCTTTAGCAAAAAATAAGGACTATTAAGTACTTTTCTAAGATTTCACCAACAATAAGTACTAATAAGGGCCCTTATTTTATTTTTGGCAAAATAAGTACTTATAAGACTTTGGAAGACCTGCTACGAACCCTGTATCACAACCTTGTGAGCGTGCGTGGACACAAACATGCGCTACGCGCGGGCAACGCTGCTGTCTATCTAGCGGCTCGCGGTGAATTTGCGGGTGCTCTATCTAGTGCAGTGGTTCTTAACATTTTTGGCCCCACGACCCCATCAGACAATTTTGGC